AGTGTTCATGACTGTCAAAGTTTTGTGTTGGAAACAAGAGATGCTGAAAAGTAAGCTTTAAAATGTGCTGATAAATATTTACAAATATTTGCAAACTAATCCATGAGGCATTGCTACTTTAAGTCATAAAAAAAAACATCAGATGGAGTTTAATATGAGAAAACCACTGATTATGAAACAGAATTGCCACCAGCTATTCCCTGAAGAAGATTTCCATCTGTAATTGTTTTTTTTTTTCTCACAAGGGCAAGCCTGGTTTCTCTGGTTTACCTGGTGAAAAGGTAATACCTGTTTGTTTTAGAAGTTTATCTGAATTTTCATTTCAATTTTGATGTTCTGCTGCAAGGTGGATCTTGTGTCATCTGGATTTGTCTTTTGTATATTTTAATTTTTTGAGAGAATTGGGGATTTTTTTTTATTTTGCATGTGAGAATTTTGCCTTTAAAACTTGGCTTTTAAAAAGAACAACTTAGTGCCAGATATAAGCACACACACTGAAATGTCATAAGGCAAACTAGTATTCTTTGTGGATTAGTGTGGGCCTCATCACTGATTTTTAATTTTATTTTGTACATATCTGTTTCAGGTATTTACAGAAATGTTTTTGTTAAAGCAATTATCAAGACCAGTGGCACACATTAGAATTGGATAATAAACTACACACATTTGTGTGAACTATGTTTTCAAACCTTATTCATTAAAATGATGTTCTCATTTTTGTTAAGAAAAATTGCAGAAAAATAAATATTTGCAGATTCAGAATCTGGTTCACCATCTTTAACACTTATTGATTTAGGTCATTATTTTGCTTTATGCAGCATTCCTATAGAGAAACAAAAGAAGGAAATAAGTATTATTAATATAGTTCCCTGGTGAAGTATTAACAGGCTTTATTTGCATCTTTTGTTGTGGTTACACAATACACTAGACTTAGATTATATTGTCTTGAAGAATTGAAATGGAATGAAAAGCTTCCAAATGCTTTTCTTGCTCTTCAGGGGGCAGCAGGAATTTCAGGATTGGATGGAAGACCAGGACTAGATGGGTTCCCTGGACCTCCGGTAAACAATAAATCTTTTAGCGGGTATCCAACAAGCTTGTTGGCCATCTTGTTGACCGTTTATTGTTCTTGCTTGTCTTTTTAGGTATTGTTTTAGATTATGCTATCCCTTTGAATTCATTGTTAAATGTGTTACAGTTTACAAAAATGAATATAGTTGGACAAGTTATGGTGCAGATTTCTTTTTAAATTTGTTTGGCA